TTTTTTCAGCCCTATCCGATATTCCGCTAATTTATAAACTATAATGTCCTGATTTCATTTTGCAAAATGTCATCATACATGACCGTTTTCAACGACGAACATATCATTACAAAACTGTTAAGCTGTGGATGTAAGGAATATATAACACAAACGATGAAGAGCCGTTAAGTTATTACCTTTTTCTATTAAAATGTATACGATTTCAGAATACTATATATGCCGACTGATTATCAATTTAGCTCAACTCAGTGACGTACAATTTGCCGAAAGCATAAATTTTTTTCTTACCTTTATTACAGCTAACCAGTCTCATAGAATATTCGTTGTTATAAGTTATTTCCCTGTACTCAACTGGGATCAATGAAAAGGCACTTAGTTTGATTTTGTAGCAAAATCGCACCTTTGAGTATTTGACACAAGGATAGCCTTAAAAGAAAAAAGAAATCACTTGATATTACTTCGCCAGTAATCTTGATTACATTTGTAGTCACAGCTACTCTTTTGTTCTCTGAAAATACAATATTACCCAGCCTATGAGGACCACCAATCTAGCTGACGCTTGGCAATCTGACCTTCTCCCAAAGAATCTTGTTTGTTTTATTTTCGTAATAAGTAAGCTTTTATTCTTAGTTTGGAACCCAAGATTTGTGATATTTTGTCAATTCGAGATTTATAGATTAAACTAGATTTTTTTCACTGCTTAGAAAGTATTCGTCGTCTTCCGTAGGATTATTATCGTCTGTAATATTTGATTTACTGTCTGCTTCGTACTTGTCTACTTGATCTTGGTCTGCGGTTATGATCTTCTCCATTACGACCCGGCTTGTCAGTGCTGTCCGTAATAACGAGAGCATGTTCGATTCATGAGGTCCCACTTGCCAATGATCCCTGGATGTCTGTCCTCTCTCAGTCAATGCTCTGGTAATCACACGGTTGAAGGAACAGTCCAGCCTTATCTGTAGCAGTTTCACTCCTCACAGCAGGCTGCCTTACTGGTTTAGATGGTTCTACTCGATCAGTCTCTCATAAGCTGTTGGCTCTCCTTAGGCATCTCCACTGATATCGAAGGAAGGCCTGGGTGTCAAATAATCAAGTACCGCAAATCTCATCTGGCACTTTGGTTCTTGGTAATAAGAGGATGGATGGGTGAACTACCTAGCTGGCCTCTAGGTGGCTCATTAAAAATAAATCCATAACCAAGTCTATAACAACATCGAATAGCACTCAGTTTAATTGAATCAAAGAGCATTCCCTAATCTTACATTGTACTGTATTTACACGTTACGAATCTTGTTGTTATTGTCAGTCCAATGACGAATTACACCGCAATCATTTTAGAATGTTTCATCTATTTACATAGTAACACCATCCCTGTTGAAACTCACCCACGCACTTGGCCGATGTTCTCCGCAACAGAATTTCTAAACGGAGAGGTAGAGTTATTTTCTAACTAGGTAGGCAAATACGTGACCAGGTATGTTTTACATCAAGTCAGCTCCATAAAAGTACTCTTGTTAATTTATTCCCTGATCTTTTAACGAAAGATCACTGAACAAGAAAACAGTACTCAGCTAACGTCGAGAGATCGTTTGAGGAAGTGAGATGACTAAAGATGGCGCGAATAAACAAGCATTCGATTTATTTACAGTTTTGAACAAACAGGATATTAGATTAAGGTTACTTTTCCATGATTAGATCTCCAAGATCATGTGATTCTTTGCACCATTGCATCTCTTCACAAGCGTTCTATGATTAAGTTAGAGTTGATAATTATTACTCTAAGTACAGTTTTTAGCTAGTGGTCTGGTCATAGTGTTCCTTCAAGTCTTTAATTTGATAATAACTTTCCCGTGGCCTTTATTAACACCCACCATGTTTAGTTGATTTGTTCCGTTATTATACGAGCCCCCTCCACCTGCCACACCACTGGACGAGGTCCCAACAACTCCTCCACCGGAATACCCGCCCCCGCCACCACCAAGTACAAAGGCGAATGCGCCCCCTCCAAAGCCCCCTTGCGACACCGGACATGTTCCCCCAGTTCCGCCATTTATAAAACTTGAGGGCGTCTGTGCAATCACAGGTCCAGGTCCCCCGTTTCCATCGCCCTTTAGTCCTGCTCCTCCTCCAGCTATTAAGCGAGAATCAATGTTGCCCGTTTTAAGGTCACAGACTTGTCCACCGGACCCTCCCGTCCCACCACACCTGGTGCCATTCTCTGTTGTCTGACCAGGATCACCGTCTTTAAATTGCTTGCTCGCTGATCCTCCACCCCCTCCCCCTCCTGCAATGATTAGCGGAGTGTTATCTAACAAAGCCACAAAGCTTCCACCTCCCCCACCTCCGGGGGCGTCACCGAATTTCTCAGTACGATGACCCTTTTGACCAACAAGAATTTTAAGCTGGGTTCCTTTGTGAAGTTTGAAAGTTCCTATCATCTTGGCTCCTAAGCCACCGAGCCTCCAAGATACGGGATCTTTGCCTAGCTCTGTGCCATTAGCGCCTGAAGCACCTGACACTTCAATGACGTAGATTCCAGTCACGGGAACAGTCCAAATTTGGATGCCATTGTCTAATGTTACTTTATCTTCCAGCAATGTTCCTACATACCCGGATGTATTTGTGGGCCCAGTTTCTCCTCGGGCGCCTAGGGTTGTGAAGACAAATTCGTCTTCTAAAACTTGAGGCTAGTATCAAAAAAAACAAAAACCTCTTACTGTGCGGATGTAATATGTAGAGCTTTGTAGCAGTCAGTTTATAATAACATGTGCTGGTAGTTTTGACTTTGGCCGTTCCGAAATTGTTCAGGGAACTGGGAGAGTTTCAAATATTAGCCAATCGACAAACGAAAACCACCACTGGCACGTCATAGATCACGCTGGAATTGGTTATTTGACAAAGTTTGTTGTTGCAAATGAATATATGAAAGATCATATATTTGAAGTGTGGAGAAAGATGACTGAAGACATCACTGATCATCGCAGTTATATACACAACTAATAAACAGCTGTGAAAGTTTGTTGTTTTTAGGGTAAATAGGGACCAAGTTTTGGAGCTTGAAACATGGTTCAAAATTGATACAAACTTCTGTAATTGACAGTATCCCTAAAACCATATAAACTATTTTAAAATTTCTTGCGATTTCTGTGATACTCTTAAAAATGGGCAACTGCAGTAATTTTCATGTCAGCTTCTTCCAAATAGCAGCTATATATATGGGTATGACGAGATTTTGCAGTGGTCACAAAACTGATAAACTGAAAAAAATTGATTTATTTTTCATTTTGTTCGAGGGTTGTCCCATTTCTGAGCATATCAATAACGGGAAATACTCACACTGAAGTTAATCAGTTGACTAAACGAATGCCCATTCTTGGTAGAGAGTACATTTTTTCCCACAACCAATTCTCCATCGAAACCTTTTCTGTTCAGCTCACAGATTCCATTTCGGGTGTTCTCGTAATTGAATGACGTGCACTTTGGGTGCGCCAAACATAACTGTGCGCATGCCATAATGTCAAAAGTCTGCTGTTTATGAATGACATGTCCCGTCAGAACGTGACCTTTTGTTATGCTAAATATGGATGAACGACTGTCATCTTTTCTTGTGAGACTCGGCTTGACTGGAGAAGAACAAGTCATAAACAAGGGCAGAACAATGACCAGCCATCTATTTCTTGACTCCATTTTTGACTTCCTGTTATTTAACGAGAATCAGAACATTTAATTCGGTATTAAGAGCTAGTCAGAGAGTAGGCAGCTATCTCGCTATCGTAACAGAGATTTGTTTTAGCCCTATCCGATATTCTGCTAATGTATGAACTGAAATGTCCTACATTTCATTTTACAAAATGTTTAAGTACAAACAGAGCCGCAGGAAAGATCTACTCATTAGCTTTCATTTGATTAGTTACCGAGGTTTCATCCAGACTCGATTGCACCTAGAACCACACTTCCATTACTGGTTATACCGGACACCACTGTGTTCAATATCAAAAGGCTACTGTTGTGACAAGCTCGGTGCTTGAATTCAAACAACTGTCATATCTGTAATCAGATTTCTCTCATCGGATCAGTATAATTAATCAATCGATTGCTATGCCATGCATGATCGTTTTCAACGATGAATGAATAAATGAATGAAAGACTTTATTAAAGCGTTAATAGTATTTAGTTTTGTGATGAACATATCATCTCAAAACTGCAAAGCTTAAGACGCAAATAAGTAATATATAAAAGAAGCCTTTAAGGTATTACCCATATCTATTTACATATATATATATATATATATATATATATATATATATATATATATATATNTACTTGACGTAACATTTGCCGAAAGCATGAATTTGTTCTTACCTTTATTATTGCTAATGTTATTTTCAACTGATTATCCATTTAGCTCAACTACTTGACGTAACATTTGCCGAAAGCATGAATTTGTTCTTACCTTTATTATTGTTAGCCAGTGTTATGGAATACTCGTTCTTATAAGTTCTTTCCCTGTACTCAACTGGGGTCAAGGAAAAGGCCTTTAGCTCGATTTCGTAGCAAAATTACACGCTTGAGTATTTGATACAATGACTGTCTCAAAAAAGACAAAAATCACTTGATTTTCTTTCACCAGTAATCTTGATTCCAATTGCGATGTCACCCACTCTTTTGTCCTCTGAAAACAGAATTTGCACCAGCCTATGAGAACTGCAAATCTTTTCTGAAGCTTAGAAACCTGAACCTCTCCGAAAGAATTTTGTTTGTTTTTAGAATAGCAACCACTGATGTCCCCCGCCTAAACACTTCAAAGAGTCAAATAACCAGGGCATTCCCGAACGGAGCGTTGATGACTCTATTTAATCGAAAAAACCGTCCCTTTCGTTATTCCACTGTCCACTTTATTCTAATCCAGTCCAATTTTTACATCCTAAAAACGTTACTATTGGCGACGTTTCCGCTTGTCTTTCATTTTGTAGTACCTAGTCCCCTGACTTGTTGACTTTTCGCATTCGTTTGCTTGATGTTCGACAAAGAACATGAATTTGGGCACAATTTTGTTTGAAAAGACAGGACAGGCTCCATCGCCGAGCAAAGACTTCCACCAACTGCTAGTCACCGAGAATCAAGTGATTTTGAGAACGTGGAGGATCTCAATAAGGAAAGACCAGCGGTACATTCCACCGAGTCAACGTAAGGTTCCAGTCGCAGAGTTCGACGAAGACACCCTTTTGCAAACAGACATAAGCCGTATTTTTGGCGAAGACACGTTACGTCTTGTACATGGCATAGTGTGCAAAGATTGGTTAGCTCGTCTTCCTAAAAACATTGTTATCCACATCGCTTCGTTCCTCGATCTGGTCGACATTGCAAGGCTTGGTTCAGTATGCAGGTCGCTGCATAAAGTTTGTTCCAGCGACGAATTGTGGGAGAAGATTTTTCTCACTCACTGCGACACCATATCCGATGAAACTCGAGCCCTGGCGCAAGATGTTGGCTGGAAGAAAGTGTTTTTCACTGATAAGTTGCAGCTTCGAGTTCAAATGAGGCGCCGCAAGGAGAGACACAGTGCTGAGCTGAAAGGAAAAACAACTCCAGTGGAAGAGAAGATTCCTCACACTTTTGTCACGCAAACTAATGGGAATTATTATTGACTGGTGTTGATTATCTGTTGTGTGAACTGAATTAGATTTAGGTTAAGTGTTAATGAGTGTTGATGAAAATTTCCTGGCACTACAGAAACCCAGGCAACAGGGATAAATGTTCCCATCTCTTGACATTTGGTTAAGCATTGTTGAACTGATATGTTGTCAGAGCCCTGAAGAAGAAGGGGAATGTTAAGGCTGTGAGTGATGATATTTAGCTTTGTTTTTTGGCTCTGGTGCCTTTTATCATGTAGCAACAAACAACACTGGATTGATAAGCCTCCCAACTCAGCAAATTACAGTGCATTTGGTGTTTTTTTATCATTATTTTTTACTTTCCTATACTTTCCTGAGCCTCTGTCAAGGCACCTCAACATCTGAATTATACCAAACCAGTGAGAGTCCTGTAGATGATATGTAAGCTGTTTGTACATTACATTGACATTTGAGTTACAACCCAAAATATGCTACTAGCCTGTAGTGCAGGCAGTTTCCATGTGCTTGCAAGTTACTGGTATTAGCTCTCAGTCAAGTGGATTCACCACCATGTTGGCTTACGGAAAGTGGACAGTGATGGGGTGGGAAGGGAAGGGTTACAGAAACAGGTCAATAACAAAAAACTGTCATAAAAACATTACAATAAACAAAGAACAATACTGTTGTTATTGTGAGGTAATTTTTTCACACTTGTTCTGCAAAATTCATTCTTACCCTCTTTGAAAACAAGAGTGTAACGAAAAACTGGCATAGGGTTGCGTCATGAGAATGGTAATCTCCATTACTGAACCATCCAAGAAAATGTTTTCAATTTCTTATTCTTTGTTCCAAAATAAATTGTAAAACTGATGTTTCAGATAAGATCTCATAAATCTATTGATATTTTGAACTCCAGGCATATGACAACTCTGAAATGTGTAATATTTCAAACACATCAGGCAATCATCATCTTCAGTTGGTCACCTAAGCCATAGCTATTCAGATGCTGTGATTAAGGCAATGCAGACAATCAAAGTACTAGCTCACTGAACAAGTGTGTAATGACTTTATTGTGAAGAGCAAATAAAAATTATTTAACATAACCTCACAAGTTCACATCATTACCATGTGGCACTCAGAGTTCTTCAAAAAAATAGGACTATTAACTTGAAGTTATGAACACCCACAAACACACACATGCTGTCCATGTGTGAAGAGAAACATTTTATTTAAACATTGACATGTATAAAATGATATTTACCTACTTTGTTGGTTCAGTTCTACATCTTATGCTTTAGAACATCTCACTCACACTAAAAACACTTAAAATAAATGCTCCTTTTCTTCTTCATTAAAATTTGCTAAGGATAAATAATGTAAATTGTAAATTAAATCACTTTTTTCAATCTTAATCAAAATATTTTTTGGAAAACAATAAAACAGAAACGTGATGACCATCGCTGTATGTTAGATTTACTCAAGAATATATTAATTTCCATGCAATATTAAATAAATCTTGCTGTTTGTTCATGATCCCTGCTCCCTTGATGTCAGCTGACAGATGTGTTTGTCCAGAACGTCAAGCCACTTGCACTGCTGCCACTCTGGGGTGTGTGTGGCAGCTCTTTGATGTCCACAACTTCACATGACATCATGCTACAGCTTATCTGTCAAACATATATACATAAAATAAATATAATTACCTGAAATGCAACCCTCTTAACCACACCCCTAAGTGAAACAGACCTAACACAAAAGATCCAATGAGTTGAAAAAAGCTATATGTGAAAGCTCAGGGTAGGGAAAAAAAAAACTTGAAATCCAATTGCCCAGTGGGCCTGCAAATTTCAGTTTTCACTTGCCCCCACTTAAATATTACTTGCCGACGTGGCGACCAGTATGACAATCAAAGGACAAATTCTCTACTTACATAAACCTCTTTTAATTCCCCCCCCCCCCCCCCCCCCCCAAAAAAAGAAACTTTGCATAGGCATTGTTCTAGATTGCTCTTGGGACATCTTCATGTTCCAGGAGAAATTGTAAACAATGATTATACAAAATTTTGGGGGGTAAAAGAGGTGTATAATGGGATTTGTGCAAGTAGAGAATGCAAACAAAGTATGCTTGGATTCCTCATGCTTTCAACTCAGTGGTTAACTTAGTCTTTAGTTTTGAAATAGCTTCTGACTGGACATAATCATTTATCAAGCTGATATTTTAATTCACACTCACAAGACTACTGAGGCTAATTTCACTTGCCCACCAGACCACTGAACTTCTATTTTCACTTGCCCAAGAGCAAAATTTACTTGCCCTGGGCAATTGGACCTGGTATTTTTTTTCTTGCCCTGAAGCTGTTGAGGTTGGTTCAGTTCTGTTTGTTAAATTCAACAATTATTGTTGAATTCAACAGAACTGAACCTCCAGCAAACACAAAAACAGTGACAGACTGCGTGCCATATAATTTTATATGTCTCAAATTGTACAAACCAAATTCTTGGAACTGTTTCTCCGTGACAACTGAGAGCACTTAGATTTTCCTTCCTCTTCCATATGCACAGTGCTCACATGGGCATTCTCTTCTTCTGGAGCTCTAAAGATTGAATGATGACCAAGTTAAAGAAAAAAATCATGGTACTCAAATCTACCTATCGAACTTCCTTCCTTGTGTACAAAAATCATTACATTTTGCAGTGAACCAAAGGTTACTCCCAGGGGGGGTACTTTGGGAATTTCTGGGTAGGGATGTGCCGCTGGGACCCTGGAACCCTTAGCCTATACCAGAGCTAGTTCAGCTGAATTTTGCTACCC